CATATATTAACACTGTGTGTATTAACATACCATATATTAACACTGTATGTATTAACATACCATATATTAACACTGTATGTATTAACATACCATATATTAACACTGTGTGTATTAACATACCATATATTAACACTGTGTGTATTAACATACCATATATTAACACTGTGTGTATTAACATACCATATATTAACACTGTATGTATTAACATACCATATATTAACACTGTATGTATTAACATACCATATATTAACACTGTATGTATTAACATACCATATATTAACACTGTGTGTATTAACATACCATATATTAACACTGTATGTATTAACATACCATATATTAACACTGTATGTATTATCATACCATATATTAACACTGTATGTATTAACATACCATATATTAACACTGTATGTATTAACATGCCATATATTAACACTGTGTGTATTAACATACCATATATTAACACTGTATGTATTAACATACCATATATTAACACTGTATGTATTAACATACCATATATTAGCACTGTGTGTATTAACATACCATATATTAACGCTGTATTATTAACATACCATATATTAACACTGTATGTGTTAACATACTATACATTAACACTGTATGTATTAACATACCATATAGTAACGCTGTATGCATTAACATGCCATATAGTAACGCGGTATGTATTAACATACCATATAGTAACGCTGTATGTATTAACGTACCATATATTAACGCTGTGTGTATTAACATACCATATATTAACAGTGTATGTATTAACATACCATATATTAACACTGTATGTATTAACATACCATATATTAACACTGTATGTATCAACATACCATATATTAACACTGTGTGTATTAACATACCATATATTAACACTGTATGTATTAACACGCCATATATTAACACTGTATGTATTAACATGCCATATATGAACACTGTATGTATTAACATACCATATATTAACACTGTATGTATTAACATACCATATATGAACACTGTATGTATTAACATACCATATATTAACACTCTGTGTATTAACATACCATATATTAACACTGTATGTATTAACATACCATATATTAACACTGTATGTATTAACATACCATATATTAACACTGTGTGTATTAACATTACATATATTTACACTGTATGTATTAACATACTATATATTAACCCTGTATGTATTAACATACCATATAGTAACGCTGTATGTATTAACATACCATATAGTAACGCTGTATGTATTAACATACCATATATTAACACTGTATGTATTAACATGCCATATATTAACACTGTGTGTATTAACATACCATATATTAACACTGTATGTATTAACATACCATATATTAACACTGTATGTATTAACATACCATATATTAGCACTGTGTGTATTAACATACCATATATTAACGCTGTATTATTAACATACCATATATTAACACTGTATGTGTTAACATACTATACATTAACACTGTATGTATTAACATACCATATAGTAACGCTGTATGCATTAACATGCCATATAGTAACGCGGTATGTATTAACATACCATATAGTAACGCTGTATGTATTAACGTACCATATATTAACGCTGTGTGTATTAACATACCATATATTAACAGTGTATGTATTAACATACCATATATTAACACTGTATGTATTAACATACCATATATTAACACTGTATGTATCAACATACCATATATTAACACTGTGTGTATTAACATACCATATATTAACACTGTATGTATTAACACGCCATATATTAACACTGTATGTATTAACATGCCATATATGAACACTGTATGTATTAACATACCATATATTAACACTGTATGTATTAACATACCATATATGAACACTGTATGTATTAACATACCATATATTAACACTCTGTGTATTAACATACCATATATTAACACTGTATGTATTAACATACCATATATTAACACTGTATGTATTAACATACCATATATTAACACTGTGTGTATTAACATTACATATATTTACACTGTATGTATTAACATACTATATATTAACCCTGTATGTATTAACATACCATATAGTAACGCTGTATGTATTAACATACCATATAGTAACGCTGTATGTATTAACATACCATATATTAACACTGTATGTATTAACATACCATATATTAACACTGTATGTAATAACATACTATATAGTAACGCTGTATGTATTAACATACCATATAGTAACGCTGTATGTACTAACATACCATATATTAACACTGTATGTATTAACATACCATATATTAACCCTGTATGTATTAACATAACATATAGTAACGCTGTATGTATTAACATACCATATATTCACGCTGTATGTATTAACATACGATATATTAACGCTGTATGTATTAACATACCATATATTAACACTGTATGTATTAACATACCATATATTAACACTGTATGTATTAACATACTATATGTTAACACTGTATGTATTAACATACCATATATTAAAGCGGTATTAATATACCATATATTAACACTGTATGTATTAACATACCATATATTAACACTTTATGTATTAACATACCATATATTAACGCTGTATGTATTAACATACCATATATTAACACTGTATGTATTAACATACCATATATTAACACTGTATGTATTAACATACCATATATTAACGCTGTATGTATTAACATACCATATATTAACACTGGAAGTATTAACATACCATTTATTAACACTGTATGTATTAACATACCAAATATTAACACTGTATGTATTAACATACCATATATTAACACTTTATGTATTAACATAACATATATTAACACTGTATGTATTAACATACCATATATTGGCACTGTATGTATTAACATACCATATATTGGCACTGTATGTATTAACATTCCATATATTAACACTGTATGTATTAACATACCATACATTCACATTTACATACCTGCATACGGTATATAAATTGTGATTATTATGATTGTAGTGATTATTTTGCGTGTAATTGAATCACCCCCCACCCCGAGATTATATTAATTATCGATATTCATCGTTGAGAATAGATGCAACATTTATTTACTTTGCTAAATATTGTGGTGAATATAGCGGCCTCTAGCGTCTGGAAAGGCCCGCGTGAATCCGTAATTTGCAACATATAAGCCCACGTAATCGATACAAACGCAACACATTCGTCAATGACACGGCGGCCTTAAAAGGAACAAAGTATAGAGTCGGCGACGTTTCGGGTGCTGGCGCTTCTTCATTGCGCACAGTCGCCAGCAGGGATCGGCAACTTGCGATCCGTATGCGTGGGCGCTGACGACTCAGGCGCCTCGTGAGCCCACACGGAGACTGTGCGCGCGTCTTTGCAGACGCACGTGCACGCGCTCTATATATCTATGTACCTGTGTACGCGTATTTTTTATTTTATATATTGTGTGTATTGTATATATATGTGTGTGTGTATATATATTACTATTTACTTTTTTATTTTAAGGCACACTGAACTATATCGCTCTTTTTTCGCGACCTGACCGCAGATGATAAGCTCAACGAAGCGGCTTATCGCCATGTGGAAATTTATAGCAGTCAAATACTCTAAACGCATGCTTATATATGTGGAGGATTAAACCGGAGGACCCGAGGAAAAATCCATGCGACCACGGGGAGAGAGAGACATGGAGACTCCAAATCTACAAGCGTCAGGTTCGGGATCGAACTCCCGGCCCCCTACATCCAGGCAGAATACATCTACAGCGGTTCGCGCACTGCGCTACAAATCCGGCGACCCGAGTTCGATTCCCGCTGACGGCCAACAACACTTGCCCCAACAGTCTGTTGAAGGCTGCACGGGGGATCTTCGTCCTAACATCGCCACTACAGATAGAACGGCGGTCGAGCGTGGTGCTGTCCACCCCACCCCCTTGTGTACCGTTCTGTCCGTCATAGGTGCTCGCTGACAGCACTTGCCCTCACAGTCTGTTGAAGGCTATACGGGGGATCTTTGTCTTTGTGGAGGAGGAGGCGTTGATTGGCCTGGCCCCGCTGTCTGTGGGAATCAGACCTCACGAAGCTCGAGCTCCTCCGCCACGTGGCGCAGCGCGCGCGCGCTCCCGGGCGCTAAAGTCGCACTAACGACGGCGTGATTCGCTAATTATATCGATTATCCCTCTCGGCGAGAGGCCGAGACCCCACGCCCAGCCACCCACCCACCCCTACCCCCTCCCCCAGTCCAGACCCCGCCTCTCTCCTCCTACCCCCCCGCTCCCCGATCCCATTCCCCAGCCGCCCACTCCCTCTTCCACCCCCCTCGCCGCTGGGGTCCAGCCGGGCCAATCCCTGCCGAGGCGTAGGGCGATCAGACACGGACATTGATCGCCTCCGTCTCCCCTCGCGCATTCGGACAGCAGCCGGCTTCACGCGGAGGGAGCGGCTGCTCGGTGTGGATCGCATCGAGAGTAGAGTGAGAGACAGAGAGGAGAGACAGTAGAGGAGGGAGTAGAGGGGGTAGAGCGCACTTCAGTCATCTGCTTCCACGCGCGTTCTACGCGTGTACTGACATGTATACACACACGTACACATCGTAACATACACACCACATGCATCGATAATCATACGTGAATCCTGTGCATACACGTGCGTATGTATGTGCATGTGTAATCCACAAGCACACACGTGTAACCGCACATATACACAACCTGACGCACACACAACCACACACACGGCTAAATACACACATTACACACACGCCGTACACGTAGTGATACACACTCACAGCACACGCACGCACATTGTGACGCTCACGCGCACGCACATTGTGACACTCACACGCATTGCACACACGCACATTGTGACACTCACACGCATTGCCCACACGCACATTGTGACACACGCATTGCACACACGCACATTGTGATACACGCATTGCACACACGCACATTGTGACACACGCATTACACACACGCACATTGTGACACTCACGCGCATTACACACACGCACATTGTGACACTCACACGCATTGCACACACGCACATTGTGACACTCACACGCATTGCACACACGCACGCACACTGTGACACTCACGCACCTACTGCAGCACACGCGCACAAGGGCGCGCCCCACGCCCCCTCATCGCGCGCGCGATGGAAAAATCCAAGAATTTCCGCATCGACGCTCTCCTGGCGGACGAGCCCCCCAGAATCCGGCTCCTTCAGGGGGGACTCTCCCTCTCTGGCGGGGGGCCATACCAGACAATGGGGGGCCTCTCTCCGCCCCGACGGGGCCCCGATAGTCCCCGTGACATCGTGAGCTGTGCTCACGACTTGCAGCATCAGCAGCAACAGCAGTCCCGCCTCCACGGCCGCCTCGCCCGGACGCCGTCTCCGCCGTGCGGGGCTGCGGCGGGGGGCCCTCCCCCGGGCCTGCAGCCGCTCTCCCGTGGGGGGCTCGTCCCCAAACCGGGGGTGCTGGGCCTGCCGCACGTGGGGCTGCCGGCCGGCTCCTTACCGGCGGTGGCGGCCTTCTACGGGTCCCCCGTGTACGGCTACCCGGGCTCGACCCTCGCCTACCCCGCGTTCCCGCACGTGGAGTCGCTGAAGGCGGCGGCCGGAGGGGGGGTGCAGGGGGGGCTCTCCCTGGAGCACTGGCTGCGCGCGTCGGCGGCCGGGGTGGTGCTGCCTCGCCTACCCGAGTACACGCGCGAGTGGCACACGTGTGAGTAGGCGCGGCGTGAGTGGCACACGCGAGTGACACACGCGTGTGAGTACGCGCGGCGTGAGTGATCCACACGAGTGATACACGCGAGTGATAGACCCGTGGCGTGAGTGACACAAGCGAGTGATAAACGCGTGGCGTGAGTGATCCACACGAGTGACACACGCGTGTGAGTACGCGCTGTTGTTGATGTTTACACACCGCACCAGGTGGAAGGATGAGTCGACTTTGAGAAGGTCTAAGATGGCTTCTGATATCACTCACCAATGATGATATCCGTGAGGGACGGGCGTGGGATCGAACTCAGGTCACCCGCTTCGTAGCGCAATGCGCTAAATACGACGCCACCGCTCTCCACACACTTAGACTCGTGAACACACACACACGCGCGCGTGAACACACACGCGTGGGTGTGCTCGAGTCTACCTCCACACGCACTGTGTAGACGCACTCGGGTGTACAGTCACAAGAACAGACGCACAGGCAGACACGACTGTGCAAGGGCGTGCGTGTGTGCCCGCGTGCGCACTCACTGACGGACGCACGCGCATACAAACGCGTGCACACAGATTTGGGCCCGCACAAAGGCGACGATCCGTCGTATCGTCTTGTAGAAACGTTTGAGGCAAGTGCTGTTCGCGAGCAGCACCTATTAAGGCTGGGACGATACACGAAGTGGTGGGTGGTCAGCACCACGCCCGGCCGCCTTTGTCTCCCTCGCGGAGATGTTTACACATCGCACCAGGTATTCATTTCGAGGCTGGGTCGAGTTGGAGACTGCCCTTTACACAATGGGGCATGATCAGAATAAATAAAATAAAACACGTTTATCAATTAACAGTTTTTATTCTTACGAATAGCTACCTCTCAGTAGGTGTTGCGTAAAATCTTTAAATATTGACAATTGTGTTCAGTTCTTTGTAAACAGATGCCAGTAAATTGGTAGTTGCCCGTTTCGCTTTTTGTCGGCTATAACGTCACACTCCCCGGGTGGTGACTACCTCGATCGCTGATGGCGAGACAATCGTACAGTGTGTGTAAGTGTGCAGTGTGTGTAAGTGTACAGTGTGTGTACGTGTGCAGCGTGTGTAAGTGTGCAACGTATGTAAGTGTGCATTGTGTAATTGTGCAGTGTGTAAGTGTGCAGTGTGTAAGTGTGTTAATGAATGAGAGCTCTCAACACTCCGCGCCATCATTTTTGGAGGCTCAAATTTTAAAGACAAACTGTGCTCCAAATGTTCCCGGCTGTAAGCGTGGAATCGGCTGTATCCCACCCTATACCTCACCCTATTCCTACCCCTATACCTCGCCCTATTCCTACCCCTATACCTCACCCTATTCCTACCCCTATACCTCACCCTATTCCTACCCCTATACCTCGCCCTATATTTCACCCTAACCCTGTACTTGCGCCAACTGTCAGCTCGCTAGCCCTTCTAGAATATGATCGTAATGTACCTCCAGAACTCAGTCTCGATGATCTGTGTCTGTATTCGCGCAAACAACAACAACAACAATAAGTCCGCGACTATGAACAAGAGAGGCCAGGGTGCTCGGGGCGCACTGTGCCTCCACCTCGGACTTCGCCGGGCCACCCTTAGACGTGGCGGTGGATTTGATGCCGTTGCTGTTGCTGCTGGGTGTCTGTTCGCTGCTGCTGGGGCTGGGTGTTTGTTCGCTGCTGGTGCTGGGTGTCTGTTCGCTGCTGGGGCTGGGTGTCTGTTCGCTGCTGCTGGGGCTGGGTGTCTGTTCGTTGCTGCTGCTGCGTGTCTGTTCGCTGCTGCTGGGGCTGGGTGTTTGTTCTCTGCTGGGGCTGGGTGTTTGTTCGCTGCTGCTGCTGGGTGTCTGTTCGTTGCTGCTGCTGAGTGTCTGTTCGCTGCTGCTGGGGCTGGGTGTTTGTTCTCTGCTGGGGCTGGGTGTCTGTTCTCTGCTGGGGCTGGGTGTCTGTTCGCTGCTGGGGCTGGGTGTCTGTTCGCTGCTGCTGGGTGTTTGTTCGCTGCTGCTGCTGCTGGGTGTTTGTTCGCTGCTGCTGCTGCTGCTGGGTGTTTGTTCGCTGCTGCTGCTGGGTGTCTGTTCTCTGCTGCTGCTGGGACTGGGTGTCTGTTCGCTGCTGGGGCTGGGTGTCTGTTCGTTGCTGCTGGGGCTGGGTGTTTGTTCGCTGCTGCTGGGGCTGGGTGTTTGTTCTCTCCTGAGGCTGGGTGTTTGTTCGTTGCTGCTGGATGTTTGTTCGCTGCTGGGGCTGGGTGTCTGTTCGCGTGGGTGGCATTCCCAGCAGTGATTGTGGAGCAGCCACGGCGAGGCGGCGCTCTGCCGGGAGAGTCCTCGTGCTGGCGAGGGCCGTGCGCGAGTCGAGGGACGCGGAGGTCCTCAGGAGGGCGCGGGGGTTGACTGAGGAACCGTGGTATGAGGAGGACGGCAGCCAGATGTGTGTACATTGAATTTCGTTTGCACCGTACATAGCCAACCGTACTATTTGGAGGTTCGGAAGGACAACAAATGAAACACAAAAATACTTTTAAAGAAAAGAGTTTTGAATCTAGATGATGTAAAAGTACATGGCTCCGGTGGCTTCCTAACATCGCAAGAAGAGCGTTCCAGACGGCCGCAGAAGCGCATCTGAACGCGCGCGATGCAGTGGCCTTCTTTGTTCGATGGCCAGCCAGAAGCCGAAGCGAGGATAACCGGAATAGCATGACCAGATCATGTGGAAGGCCATGGATTGACTCAGACCGATGATCTGAGACATGTCTCACCCGCATCTCAGTGATCACACAAAGACCCCCCGTACAGGTTTAACAGACTGTTGGGACAAGTGCTGTTAGCGAACACCAATGAAGCCCGGCACGGCACACTACGCCCGGCCCCCTTTGTCTTCCGAGTGGTGATGTTTATACATCGTACCAGGTCATAATTTGAGTATGAGTACACCAAGGGGAGGCCCAGAACCGGTCCAGGTATTGGTCGTACTCAGGAGATGCATTTCCTTTGTCTCAGTGGTAGCCAGTGGCACCATTTGAGAACGATGGACGGTTTTGTATGACCTGTCATATATCTGAGCGAGGACTGTGTGCGTGCGTGTGTTACTGCCTACGCGTTTATTATAGCTTGCAACGCAGGTATTGAACGTGTACGTATCAGCAACAGTATATGATATTAGGTACATTTACGTCACCGTGTAGCTTTGTGGAGTTCGCTATTTGTGTGTGATATGTTATTGCCTTCACTGAGTAAGGTGCTGGGTAGGCACGTTTCTGTCCATGCGTAAATCACCGTGCACTGTATCTGTATGTATATTACTGTGCGAAAGAGCTATTTACTTGTCAGTCCGTATTATGTGTGCGTTATTACGTATCTGTGTGTGCGTAAGCCACTGCGCACACCCCTATGTGTATGTGTGTAAACTCCTATGTGGCATGCAGCATGTAACCGCCGATGTCTCTGTGTTGGTCCGCTCTAGGTATGCGTATTCGCAAGTGCTCGCGAACAGCACTCGCCCCGATGTTCTATTCGGGCACGCGTGGGGTCTTTGTGCTGCTGTGTACTGTGCATGTACTGTGCATGTGTAGTACAGTACTATAGTGCAGAGGCGCCCCATGGGGATAGTGTGTGGGGATTGCGCGTCCGCGGGCAACACCCAAGTGTAATGATTAATTAAGTTTAGATACTTTAAATGTTATGATAACGGAGACTTAGTTTACATGCAATCAATGTTACTTCGAGAAATAATTTGCCCCCCCCCACCCCACCGAATCGGTGTTGCTCTCTTCGCCACCGACGTTCCGCATCTGGCCCCTTAACCAGAGCTGCTTCCCTTACTCCATCGAATGCAACTCAACAGCTGAGAATCGGCCGTCACGGCGTGCGCGTCGAGCACACAGTACGAGTCGCGGCGACTCTACCTGCACCTCAAATGGACATCGAGGCATTGGTGGACATTCCACATTCCTACGGCGGGGGTGAATCTCGCCATAGGACAACTACTGTTGACCTCCCCGCAAAGTGGTCACGTGCTTTTCATTGACACCCAGCCGAAGGAAGGGACGGATGATGGTCTGAGTCAAGCCACCCAACCAGAGTTTGAACTCGCGACCTTCCGATCACGAGCCGCCCGCTCGAGCGCAGAGCCACGTGGCCGGTGACTCTGTACACGCCAAGTAGATTTACGGGTTGTGTCATTGGTATGTATGTTTTTTTCTTCTTGGTTCTTTCGGTAAAGTCACGTAGAATGGAAATAAAATAATAAAAATAAAACATCATAAAATAAGATTCTCACGACGTTTCGGCCACAACACAAGTAGCCTTCTTCAGGTGAATAAACAGGACTGTCCAGAAGACAGCGCTTGAGTGAACATTGCCAAGCATGGACCGCGTCTTTTAAGCTGTGTGGGCGGAATTAACATGAATTAGCATGTTACCCAGCACCGGATCGGAGGAGGGTGGCGGCGGGTACACAGAAAAAAGGAAAGATAAAAGGAATAGGATAGGTGCGTTAATAACTATGCTATAAACTGGATTACTATACAATATAATATTATACCTTCCAATCTAAACTACATGATATAATATCATATTCATAGACAAAATCCCACCTTTGAATTATACAATGCGTTACTATACACTGCCCTATACTTTAGACTATAAAATATTAGACTTGTAACTTTACAATATATCTTATTTTATCAACCCCACTATATGCCACACTGCTGTATATTCACTATACAATTACGATACCATATATTGCCATATGAATTGTGTTAAATATTACGATGTTATACTATTTATTATTATACCACATGCTATAAACCATACCATTGACCGTCGTGTGAAAGGTATTAAGAGGCAGTGCCAGCGAATGGACTGCGGTCTGAAGGTCACCGTAAAATACAATCGATTAAGAACCGAAATGGTTTATAACAATGGTTACTAAGCCAGAATCCATCTTCTCGGTTGAAATTATCTCTGTGTTTGTATATGTGGATGGCCTCATGAACGAATCTCTCATGGTAGCCGGATGGCTTGCAGAGAACCTCCGTCTTGGAGAAGTCAATGTCATGCGCGCCCACTGAATTGTAACAGTGATCTGCCACGGCTGAGGAGTTCATCCTACCGTGTTTCAAGTAAACATATTTTATGTATGTTGTTGTTGTTGTGTATGTATATATGTTGAACTTCTTTCGCTCCATACGTAGTCAACCGTGCTAATCGGTAGTGCGGGGCGAGGGACAGCAAACTAACCACAAAAGAGCAGTTCTGAAGAAAGTAGCTTTCAATCTAGATTTAAAAAGTGGAAGCAAGAGCGTTCCAGACGGCCGCAGAAACGCTGTGGCTGCCTGGACCCAGCTGCACCCCGAATGGGCGGCTTGCTGTCCTGCCGGAGACGAGTATAACGCGGCAACCTACTGAAATAGACACGTGGCACACATTCGGGAAGATGCGTCTGCCGAAACGTCAGCTCGGATAAAGCGTTTTAGTGTCTTAATACGTGTAGTGTAAACGATAACGGTGATATTATAACGATATTGTTATGTATTCTTGGTTCTTTCAGTAAAGTCACGTAGAAGGGAAACAATAAAATAATAAAAATATAAAACAATAAAATTCTCACGACGTTTCGACTGCAACACAAGCAATCATCATCAGGTGTGAAAACCACAGCTGATGATGATTGCTTGTGTTGCAGTCAAAACGTCGTGAGAATTTTATTGTTTTATATTTTTATTATTTTATTGTTTCCCTTCTACGTGACTTTACCGAAAGAACCAAGAATATGAATCCCTGCAGTCACGAAAGTTTTAAATCGATATTGTTATGATTAACTTGTGTAAGCATTGTGCGGTGTATATGTCTACTTCTGAGGTATACTGGTTGTATCACTGGTTATCTGGCTATATCACTGGTTACGCGACTCGTAATATGGTTAAACACTCGTTATAGTCGTAAACAAAGTGTCAAACAAGAGTGGACCTGCACATTGTCCATCCACTGCTGGATGAAGGCCTCCCTAAGGCAGTATTGGTCACCGGGGTTGTTTAACCACGCTTGCAAGAGTGCTCTTTGACTAAGAAACATATGGGGTTGGTCAAGACCGGCTCAGACATCATTTGCCACTGATGTTAGCCGCGACCGGGAATTGAGTTCAGGAATATCGCCAGGTTCATTTCACAATGCGCTAACCACTGCGCCACCGCTCCCCGTGCACTGCTCGGGGATCGCGAACGTTGTGAAGAGAGAGCGGTGACGCAGCGGTTTGCACACTGCTTGACGAACAACAATCACGGCCGCGGCTAACATCTCGTGGCGAGTGATACCGGAACCGTTTGTGGGTCTCGCATAGGACGACTCAGCCTTAAATACACACTTTGATGCGGCGTGTGAACATCAACACTGGGCTCACAAAGACAAAGGCGGCCGTGCGTGCTGCTGGCCACGCCATCCGCTCATGCCGCGCTGGTCTTAATAGGTGCCCGCTAACAGCTCGCTAACAGCACAAATAGCCTTCTACAGCTGAACGGGGATATTCATCTTTGGGTGCTGTTGACAGAGAGGACACTCACCGTGGAGATGGAGTGATGAGAGCAGCTAAATGTGCAGGGGTAAGACTGACAGTAGCAGCAACACTGCACCGTAATGGATGGCGACAGTGTGGTGAGGCCTTCATGCAGCAGTGGATAAACACTGGCTGATGAAATGACGATTATGTTGATGATGTGTGCGTGTGTGTGCAGCCCAGGTGCAGGCCAGTCTGCTCGGCAAGTGCCGTCGGCCACGCACAGCCTTCACGTCTCAGCAGCTGCTGGAACTCGAACATCAGTTCAAGCTCAACAAGTACCTGTCCCGGCCCAAGCGATTTGAAGTGGCGACGTCGCTCATGCTCACGGAGACGCAGGTGAGACGCCTCTCATGATAACTGAGACACAGGAGAGACACGTCTCTCATGCTCACTGAGACACAGGTGAGACACGTCTCATGATCACTGAGACACAGGTGAGACGTGTCTCATGATGACTGAGACACAGGTGAGACACGTCTCATGCTCACTGAGACACAGGTGAGACACGTCTCATGATCACTGAGACACAGGTGAGACACGTCTCATGATAACTGAGACACAGGTGAGACACGTCTCATGCTCACTGAGATACAGGTGAGACGCATCTCATGATAACTGAGACACAGGAGAGACGTGTCTCATGATAACTGAGACACAGGTGAGACACGTCTCATGCTCACTGAGACACAGGAGAGACGTGTCTCATGATCACTGAGACACAGGTGAGACACGTCTATCATGATCATTGAGACACAGATGAGACACGTCTCATGCTCACTGAGACACAGGAGAGACGTGTCTCATGATCACTGAGACACAGGTGAGACGTGTCTCATGCTCACTGAGACACAGGTGAGACGTGTCTCATGATCACTGAGACACAGGTGAGACACATCTCATGATATCTGAGACACAGGTGAGACACATTTCATGATAACTGAGACACAGGTGAGACGTCTCTCATGATCACTGAGACACAGGTGAGACGTGTCTCATGATCACTGAGACACAGGTGAGACACATTTCATGATAACTGAGACACAGGTGAGACGTCTCTCATGATCACTGAGACACAGGTGAGACGTGTCTCATTATCACTGAGACACAGGTGAGAGACGTCTCATGCTCACTGAGACACAGGTGAGACATGTCTCATGATAACGGAGACACAGGTGAGACGTGTCTTCTGCTCACTCAGACACAGGAGAGACACGTCTCATGATCACTGAGACACAGGTGAGACGTCTCTCATGCTCGCTGAGACACAGGTGAGACGTGTCTCATGATAACTGAGACACAGGTGAGACGCGTATCATGATAACTGAGACACAGGCGAGACGCGTCTCATGATAACTGAGACACAGGTGAGACACGTCTCATGCTCACTGAGACACAGGTTAGACGGGTCTCATGATAACTGAGACACAGGTGAGACACGTCTCATGCTCACTGAGACACAGGTGAGACGTATCTCATGATAACTGAGACACAGGTGAGACGTGTCTCATGATAACTGAGACACAGGTGAGACGTGTCTTATGATAACTGAGACACAGGATAGACACGTCTCATGATAACTGAGACACAGGTGAGACACGTCTCCTGCTCACTGAGACTCAGGTTAGACGTGTCTCATGATGACTGAGACACAGGTGAGACACGTCTCATGATAACTGAGACACAGGTGAGACACGTCTCATGCTCACTGAGACACAGGTGAGACGCGTATCATGATAACTGAGACACAGGTGAGACGCGTCTCATGATCACTGAGTCACAGGTGAGACACGTCTCATGCTCACTGAGACACAGGTGAGACGCGTATCATGATAACTGAGACACAGGTGAGACACGTCTCCTGCTCACTGAGACTCAGGTTAGACGTGTCTCATGATGACTGAGACACAGGTGAGACACGTCTCATGATAACTGAGACACAGGTGAGACACGTCTCATGCTCACTGAGACACAGGTGAGACGCGTATCATGATAACTGAGACACAGGTGAGACGCGTCTCATGATCACTGAGTCACAGGTGAGACACGTCTCATGCTCACTGAGACACAGGTGAGACGTATCTCATGATAACTGAGACACAGGTGAGACGTGTCTCATGATAACTGAGACACAGGTGAGACGTGTCTTATGATGACTGAGACACAGGTGAGACGCGTATCATGATAACTGAGACACAGGTGAGATGCGTCTCATGATCACTGAGTCACAGGTGAGACACGTCTCATGCTCACTGAGACACAGGTGAGACACGTCTCATGCTCACTGAGACAGGTGAGACACGTCTCATGATAACTGAGACACAGGTGAGACGCGTCTCATGCTAACTGAGACACAGGTGAGACGCGTATCATGATAACTGAGACACAGGTGAGACACGTCTCATGCTCACTGAGTCACAGGTGAGACGCGTATCATGATAACTGAGACACAGGTGAGACACGTCTCATGATAACTGAGACACAGGTGAGACACGTTTCCTGCTCACTGAGACACAGGTTAGACGTGTCTCATGATAACTGAGATACAGGTGAGACGTGTCTCATGATAACTGAGACACAGGATAGACACGTCTCATGCTCACTGAGACACAGTTGAGACGTGTCTCATGATAACTGAGACACAGGTGAGACACGTCTCATGCTCACTGAGACACAGGTGAGACGTTTCTCATGATAACTGAAACACAGGTGAGACGTGTCCCATGATAACTGATACACAGGTGAGACACGTCTCATGCTCACTGAGACACAGGTGAGACATGTCTCATGATCACTGAGACACAGGTGAGACACGTCTCATGATCACTGAGACACAGGTGAGACGTGTCTCATGATAACTGAGACACAGGTGAGACGTCTCTCATGATCACTGAGACACAGGTGAGACGTGTCTCATGCTCACTGAGACATAGGTGAGACGTCTCTCATGGTAACTGAGACACAGGTGAGACGCGTCTTATGATAACTGAGACACAGGTGAGACACGTCTCATGCTCACTGAGACACAGGTGAGACGCGTCTCATGATAACTGAGACACAGGTGAGATGCGTCTCATGCTAACTGAGACACAGGTGAGACGCGTCTCCTGCTCACTGAGACACAGGTGAGACGCGTCTCCTGCTCACTGAGACACAGGTGAGATGCGTCTCCTGCTCACTGAGACACAGGTGAGACACGTCTCATGATAACTGAGACACAGGTGAGACACGTCTCATGATAACTGAGACACAGATGAGACAAGTCTCATGATAACTGAGACACAGGTGAGACACGTCTCATGATAACTGAGACACAGATGAGACACGTCTCATGCTCACTGAGACACAGGTTAGACGGGTCTCATGATAACTGAGACACAGGTGAGACGCGTCTCATGCTAACTGAGACACAGGTGAGACGCGTATCATGATAACTGAGACACAGGTGAGACGCGTCTCATGCTCACTGAGTCACAGGTGAGACGCGTATCATGATAACTGAGACACAGGTGAGACACGTCTCATGATAACTGAGACACAGGTGAGACACGTTTCCTGCTCACTGAGACACAGGTTAGACGTGTCTCATGATAACTGAGACACAGGTGAGACGTGTCTCATGATAACTGAGACACAGGATAGACACGTCTCATGCTCACTGAGACACAGTTGAGACGTGTCTCATGATAACTGAGACACAGGTGAGACGTTTCTCATGATAACTGAAACACAGGTGAGACGTGTCCCATGATAACTGATACACAGGTGAGACATGTCTCATGCTCACTGAGACACAGGTGAGACATGTCTCATGATCACTGAGACACAGGTGAGACACGTCTCATGATCACTGAGACACAGGTGAGACGTGTCTCATGATAACTGAGACACAGGTGAGACGTCTCTCATGATCACTGAGACACAGGTGAGACGTGTCTCATGCTCACTGAGACATAGGTGAGACGTCTCTCATGGTAACTGAGACACAGGTGAGACGCGTCTTATGATAACTGAGACACAGGTGAGACACGTCTCATGCTCACTGAGACACAGGTGAGACGCGTCTCATGATAACTGAGACACAGGTGAGATGCGTCTCATGCTAACTGAGACACAGGTGAGACGCGTCTCCTGCTCACTGAGACACAGGTGAGACGCGTCTCCTGCTCACTGAGACACAGGTGAGATGCGTCTCCTGCTCACTGAGACACAGGTGAGACACGTCTCATGATAACTGAGACACAGGTGAGACACGTCTCATGATAACTGAGACACAGATGAGACACGTCTCATGCTCACTGAGACAGGTGAGACGTGTCTCATGATCACTGAGACACAGGAGAGACGTGTCTCATGATCACTGAGACACAGGTGAGACACGTCTCATGCTCATTGAGACACAGGAGAGATGTGTGTCATGATCACTGAGGTTGAGATCTGGTTCTGGTTATGCTAGGTTTAGGTTTAATTCTTGCACATGGCAATTCACTCAGGAGCTCGATGCCAATAAGGACGTCTGCTGATCATGGCGAGAGGGCTTCGGGAGAGAGAGAGAGCTTGTATCTATTTGTCATTCCTCCTTGGACAACTAGCACAGACCACAGTGGTCGAATTTGTGGTCCAGAGTTCGCGTTGTGTGGCCATCATCTCACCACTGTGGCTTGTCATCAATTTTCTGTTCGTGAACGAGATGTGTGCATCTATCTGTTGATGTCCTGATGAACGAGACGTGTGCATCGATCTGTTGATGTCCTGATGAACGAGACGTTGCATCACTCTGTTGATGTCCTGATGCGGTTGATGGCTGTACCGGTGCCACCTCCCGGGGTGGACATTCCTCCACTCTGTTCGCACAGCAGCCTTCTTCTGGATGTGGGTGATATTCTAGGATGGTGACAGTAGCAGCAGCAACAGAACCATCGAGCAGTTTTGTGTAAGAGTTCTAGGACGCAGCTGGAGGGCATTGACTCTGAGTTGATCATCAACTGGAGTACCCCCAGGTCGTTCCTGCGAGTTTCTATAGCAGGGCGATTCTTGATTTGATCTGTTGACAGTTATATTTTGAGTGTGGATCGAAGGTCAGGCTTCTGTTCATGATAACATCTCGATATCTCCTCTTACGTGTTTTCATGTTAACATGAGCATCACTAATACCATCATCTAGGTGAAACGAACGTCCTTAGATATGGTAAAGTTGGTTTACATGTTTGTCATATAGATTCTGATGTGGGTCCCACGACGTTTAGATTAATTGATGGTGCAGGTTGAGGATAGGTTTCGTGCAAATGGAGATCTGGTATCGGAAATATGTTAAAAAGGACTTTATATCTCATCTGATTCCTCTAGTATAAATAAAGATTCTGATTAAGATTCAGAGATATGAATCTGCTACTAACCCCGTTCCCGCCGGCCCTGCAGGTCAAGATCTGGTTCCAGAACCGGCGCATGAAGTGGAAGCGAAGCAAGAAGGCGCGCGAGCAGGCGGGGGGCACGGAGAAGGGCCCCCGCGGGGGGGGCCCCGCCACCTCCGCGGGGGGCAGCGGCAAGGACCGGGCTCAGGGCAAGGGGATGCCGGGGCCCGGCACCCCCTCATCCTCCGACGCGTCCAAGGAGCGCGGCGGGGTGACGAGGGGACCCCCGATTCTGGGACCCCTGTGCGGCGAAGGGGTCCGAGGCGAGGAGAGCAAGGGGACCGAGCCCCGCGCCGGAGCTCGCGCGGGGGCGCTGTCCCCCGCGGCGTCGCCTTCCGTGGACGGAGACGACGAGGAGGAGGAGGAAGATCTGGAAGACGACGAGGATGAGGAGGAGGAGTACGAGGAGGAGGAAGAGGAGAGGGTGGGCGCAATCCGGGCTCGCTCGCCGCTGCTGTGGGGCGAGCAGGAGAAGTTGTCTATAGGGGCGCTGGCACAGGCGGCTCCGCGCCTCTACTGAGAGATTTGGGGCGGGGGGGGGGACCAGTGGCGATTCTCTGGGGGGCCGTGTGAGGGGGGCACGCACCCTCCCCCCCAACTCCCTTCCGTGTATCCCTGCCCCCCAATGCCTAAGTGGCTCCTCAGGGTGGCTGGGGAGGCACTCGAGCAAACGAGGCCATCACGGACAATGAAGTTGATGTCATCACCACACCTCGCTCGGCATCACTTCCTTCCTTCTGCTAAATCCAGCAGCAGCAGCATCAGCTACCGAGACCTCACCTCCAATTTGAGCTCTTACACTGAGAGTGTCCCCCCACTCCCACGCCAAGTGGCCCTGCTCACTGGGTCTCTGGACTCGCCACTGTTGTCAGTGTGGTGGGGCCACAGGGATGTTGACTGCTCACTCGAGACAGGAGACGGCGGCTGAAGAACCGCGAGAGTTGGACAACGCTGCTTACTGTACATACGACAGTATACATACACCGTATATGTACAGTATACGTACAGAGCGCGTGCATGTGTGTGCAGTGCACGTGTCGTGTGCGTGCGTCAGAGGTGCGCGCGCTCTTCATTACTTGACGCGTTCCACGCCACTTGCTGTAGCAGGACACACGTGTGCACCTACAGCTCGCTACTTAGACGGCACTTGGGTTTTCGCGGGTTGTACCACGCGTTGTTCGGCACGATGTCCGACGTTTGGCCTATCCGAGGGAAATCGGTTCAGTTGAGAACAGCACGCGTTGCAACCCGAGATCAGATCGCAGATGCTCTGCAGCACGACCGCGACATCTACGCAGCAGCGTGCGCGGTGTTCGTCACGTGAGAACGAACTCTGAAAGAATCGTGGCGCTGCGAGAATCCTATGCCGAGTAATCTCTCACTGGGCGCCCGCGTGCATGTGCCCCGACACTGGACCGCATCCACGTGGGACGCAGAGTCGCAGTTCGCTTCTTGCCGCTGCTTATCTCAGGCCATAAATGATGAAAATGCTAAGCGGTCAGCAACAAGCAGCACCAATAAAATAAATTATAGCTGAGAGTGAAAACGTTTCACGCATTCGCCAAAGCACGTGAACGAGGTGAAGTTGAACAGCTCATTCCTCCCAGGTCACACATTCACTTCCGTTCAAATACAAAACAAATTCAGTCCTTACATGCCTCACGAGCCTGATGATTACTAAACAAAGATAACGATCTCTCGTATAGCCTTTAATAAACTGTTCGGGACAGGTGCTGTTAGCGAGCACCTGTGAAGGCCAGCACGTCACACGAGGGGGTGGGTGGCCAGCATTACGCCCGACCGCCTTTGTCTCTCCAGTGACGATGTTTACAAACCGCACCAGGTACTCGTTTGAGGCTGAGTCGATCTAGAGCAGGTCCATGATCTGTTTAAATATTCGCCAGTTATTGATCATGAGCGGGAATCCAACTCGGATTTTCAGGTTCTGAGCTCAGCACGCTAACCACTGCGCCACCGCTCCCCCGTTGATTGCTAAAGACTCCCCAAGTGACACACACGCACACACACAGGCGCATAAGCCCTCCATAGCCATGTAAATGATCACACTGTGGGTCATGTGGGACGTGTTTAGAAATCATCAGACGCGTGCAGTGTGTGACGACTTAATATAAAGTTTTAGAAGCGGGTGAATTTGGTGAACGCGCGGTGGGTCGCGAGGACTCGAGTCTCGCTGGCTCGGAGCAGTTGCCACTGAGAGCCATCCTCGATAACGTGACGGCGATGATGATGATGATGGCGCCGCGATGATTGTGATGTTCCTTCGATGCTGCACTTTCCGTCTTGTTTGTTTGCACGAAATCGCCACGGGTCGGATCACCACTCTCAGCAACATTGTTGCCAGCGGGGGGAGGGGAGAGGGGGGGTGTACAATACGTGAAAATGCTAAGCGGCCAGCAACAAAACGTACAGTGACCTACTCTTATTGCTATCGCTAATATACCTGTGTGTGTGTGTGTACAATGTAGGCTATACGGGGACTTGTGCATATTTTATTTTTTATATCTTATTTAAGTGAATGTATTCGCGTTGGATTACGGTGTGCATGTTGTGTTGTCGTCTCCCCCTGCAAGTCACCGCCACCACAGGCACAGAGAGATCGCGAGGCGCTGCTCGCGACGGGAATCCACGCGGCCAGATCCACAGCTACGCGAATCGGGGGGCACTCTTCCAAAATAGACCCCCTGCACCTCCCCCCCCCCCGTCCATTGCCGGTGATAGAACGGGGACAAGAGCCGTATGCTGAAACCGGTTCATGTGCAGGCTGAACTGAGACGGATCGCGACAGCGTGGGGAGGGCGACCTTCATCCAACAGTCGATTGCCAACGGCTGCTGCTGATGACGACGACGATGTTTGCTGGTGATGTTGAAGAGGAGAAATCGGCAAGTTTTCGTGAAACATCGCACGGAAAAGGAACGTTTCGTGACCCGACACAACACGGGGCCCGGTAGCCGCGATAGCCGTGGCACGCGGGGCCCAGCGCACAGAGAGCGCGTGGTGTCACCGTGCAGCACGGCTTGTGTGAGTACACGTGTGTATTATATATATGTGTGTGTGATGTGGTACACAGGTATATATGTGTGATGTAAGAAATGGCGACTTACTCGTTGCCGTTCGTTCTCCCGACGCGGCAGCCGCAGCTGTGGGTAGATCCCCACTCCCCCCACCCCCTCCAGCCGTCTCTTCACCCAGCAGCATGCATGGGTCACCATCGGTCGGTAGGTCGCGAGTGGTGGGGTAAAGTGTGGGTACTTACACATCTTCAAAGACGTCTGGCCAGCGCGCCAGGGTCGGCCTGTATATCCTTTCCTTTGTGGGGGCCCTTCCGCCAACAGTGACGTGAGCGAGCAATTACAGGGCTGCGCCTTTACCTTATTCTAATAAAAATATTTCTCCTTCGTCTCATTCGCTGTGTCCTACATGTGTTTATCCTATTTATGTACCATGAAGAAGGGCCGTTGTCCGAATCGTCGCCTATTACTTTTTTTGCTTGCGCACCATTGCCAACGCCGTAGTAGCACCAGCACCAGATGCATTGTCTCGAACAGATACATTGTAGATAATATGTTTATTGTAAATTAGACGTGTATATAAGTTTTGGCTGGTCCAATACATTTTCCAAAAAAACTTTAATCACAATGAACAAAGGCAAAATTTATTAACAGGTTTCCATCGCTCTACGCGGTAGCAGGAGATGCGGTCGTAGTAGACGCGGTAGTAATAGTGGTAGTTGGGGTAGTGGTAGTACACACAGCACATACACAGTACACACATACACAGTACACACAGTACATAGTACACACAGCACATACACAGTACACACAGCACAGTACACACAGCACATACACAGTACACACAGTACATAGTACACACAGCACATACACAGTACACACAGCAAATAGTACACACAGCACATACACAGTACACACAGTACATAGTACACACAGTACACACAGCACATACACAGTACACACAGTACACACAGCACATACACAGTACACACAGTACATACACAGTACACACAGCACATAGTACACACAGTACACACAGCACATACACAGTATACACAGTACATAGTACACACAGCACATAGTACGCACAGCACATAGTACACACAGTACATACACAGTACACAGTACACACAGCACATACACAGAACACAGAGTACACAGTACACACAGCACATACACAGAACACACAGTACATACACAGTACACACAACGTTGTCCCACGTCCGGCCACACAGCACGGAGAGGGGAAGGGGACTGGGACTGACGAGGCGAAGGGGATGCAGCTCTGAGAGCAGTGGTTCTAAACAGCGCTGGAATGGGGGGGGGGGGCGCCCCCCCAATCAAGACCACTGCCCCCCCCTCACCCCTCGATACACAAAGAGGTCACGTGCCCACGCCTCTAGTGAACGCGGCGTGATTAAGGCACCACCGCTCACATTTATCATTTGACCTCAATGGTGTAACAAGTTGAGTCGTTACACGCTGCTCGTGCCTGGTGTGTGCGAAACATCCCACGTGACGCGCAGGCTGCCGTTATAAAAGAATGTCTTTGTGTGTCAGTCCCACGTGTCCTGGACGTTACATCAATTTTAATCAATCGGCGTGTAGTATAATACCTCAAGAGGTTGCCGCACTGGGAAGGTTGAACAATTTCGTTAATTCGTGTTTGTGTTCCCGTGGGAGGATATCGGAGAATCTGGGGTATAGGAGCGGGTGACACTGATAACGCCGCACAGATAGACTTAAGTATCCACCACCTCGCACTCCACCTCTCGGGCCCCACTTCTGCAATCATCACCCTACAATTGTTCAGCAATGTTTGACGACACCAGCGACAGTACGGTCCGTGTGTGTGTGTTATTGTCAGTACGGTCCGTGTGTGTGTGTCAGTGAGTCGAGCGTTCTAGGGAACGGCTGTGACCCAGAGCTTTGGATCGAGGGTTGGTTGATCACGTGATATCGCCCTATCCAAGGTACCCTAAACCCTAGCCAGGCATCAGGCACCAGGCTCAATCAAACCTGCTCAGCTTCCAAGACCCAAGGAGGTCAGGCGAACTCGGGTGGGGGTTTGTGTCGCATGTCTGTGCGTGCGTGTGGGTGCGCGTGTGTGGGTGCGCGTGTGTGGGTGCGTGTGTTTGGGTGTGTGTGTGTTTGGGTGTGCGTGTGTGTGGGTGCGCGTGTGTGGGTGCGTGTGTTTGGGTGTGTGTGTGTTTGGGTGTGCGTGTGTGTGGGTGCGCGTGTGTGGGTGCGCGTGTGTGTGGGTGCTCTTGTTCCTACAGCGGCAGTGTGCGGGTGCGCGTGTGTGGGTGCTCTTGTTCCTACAGCGGCAGTGTAGTGGCTAGCGCACTGCGCTACGAAGCTGATGGCCACTCGCGGCTAACATCAGTGACAAATGTCTGAATCGGTTATGAGATTCCCCTAGATCGACTCAGCCCTAAACGAGTACCTGGTGCGATGTGTTAACACCAGCACTAGGCAGGCACAGGCGACTGGGCGTGGTTGTTGCCGTGCCGCCCTCTCTCGCGTCCTCCAGCCCTTGTACGTGCGTGTGTTGAACTTCTTTCGCACCGTACATAGCTAACCGTACTAATAGGCGCCCGCGCAGGAAACTTGCCCCACCAGCTTGCGTAGGCTATACGGGGGATCTCTGTCTTTGTTCGCGCTGATTCTCCGCTGGCGGAAGCGGCGAGTGTGGGCGCTCGAGGGGATAATGAGGAGGACGCGGTTGGAATTTAGCGCGGAGTCGCCAAAGTCGGTCTAGGTCAGACCGCCACCTCTCCCGGCCCACCGGGCGAGGAAGGGAGGGGGTGGGATCAAGGGGGGGGTGGAGGGGGTGTGTTGGAGGCCTGGAGCCGGCAATCTGGCGAGACAAAGGGGGCTTCTAGAGCCACTTTATCTGCCAGCACGTGGACAAACAGGGCGAATTCTCCGCTCGCTTGTCGCTCTCATCAACGCCCGCGCACTCTTTCTGTAAGTCTGCGCGAGTAAATATATACAGTATATACATTTAGACACACAGTATATATACAGTATATACATTTAGAGTGCGCGCATACTTATACCATACCGACACGTCGCTGCACGAAAGGTATTTATCAAATAAAAAGCTTCAGTAACAAAACAAAAGCATCTGGGCAATATTCCGGCGCGGTAGTTGAAGCAGTGGTGCAAGCACGAAGTTGCGTTTTGGTTCATAGATGGAAAACAACAAATCCGTTCAGCTTGTACCGCATGTTGCTACTCCAGAGAGCAGAGACCCGCGCGAGCGGCTTGCAAGCGGGAGGGTGCGAGTTCAACTCCTGGTTGGAGGGGTCAGCTGTCTTCGTCGTCTCACCCTTCGGGGACAATGCAACGAGTACCACATATGGGGAAGTCACAAGCAGTTGACCTATGGATGGGTCTCGTCCCCGCCATAAGAATGTGGAATTTTCACCAATGTCTACAGGGCTGTAGACGGGAGATGGACATCGCCACAATGTCCATTTGAGCCAGCAAGCGCTCAGATCAGCGCGCGTTGTTTGACTTCCGAGAGAGCGGAGAGAATTCCTCGGAGGGTGGAGGAGGAGGCTTTGCTCTTGGCGCAATTAGGGCAAAGTTAAACTTCCATCAGCGCGGCCCGTGTGTGTGTGTGCCCATCGCGCGCCGCAGCGCCGCTTTTGCGCTCGCGTGTGCCCGAGAGGGGCCGCGGGTTAATGTGTCCCGAGGCGCGTTTGGCACCGATTTGTTACCGGCTGTAACTTTACAGGCGCCCTTCTCTCTCCTCTGTGTCTGTTTGTTTGGTTCCATTTTCTGTGATTGGTTCTCCCCCATACCCCCCGCACCCCCACCCCTGGTAAAGGTGCAGCCCTGCAATTTCTTACCGCTGCTGACTGAAGACTGAACGGTGAATCGATTCTTACGCTCACAGTACATGCATTCACATCGTCTGCGAAATCATCGATCATTTGTCGTTAGTTTATGTTATGTGTGCAGTAGTTGGCTGGCGTTATCCGTACAGCCACTAGAGCCACGACATTCACAATGATGAAGACAATCCCATTAAGAATCGATTTGTTGAAGTGAATCTGTGACTCCGGATCGCTAAGAAGAGACGGTACCTGCTGAGCTCTCTGCCGTATGTGTGTATGTGATCTACAGTTGTCACCTGTCCTAGGTTCCCAAGGATCGTCGTCATGTTGAGTGGGGCAGCTGCTGCCCTGGTGAGTCTATCGGTCTTCCCGGGACATTCACAGTCCCGGTGGTATTTGTCTCACGCGAAGTAACAATACCAATAACACCGCCCATACACATCCACTCCAATAACACCGCCCATACACATCCACTCTAAAACAACGCACTCACGATCAGTGCTCCTCTCTGCTGGTACCGCGAGCGATTATTCCCCCCTCCCCCATGAGATGTTCCGGTTTATTTGGTACCTCCAAAGGCAGCAATCCCCCCCCCCCCAGACACCGCAGATGTGAGGCCTCTGAACAACTGCGCCCCTACCCCGCAGCCACCTTTACCCTGCCCCCTCTGCGCCCCATCCCTCCCTCGCTCCCGGGGGACTCTATCCGTGTGCTTGCCGGGCCCGTGGTACTAATGGTGAATGTCTCATGGCAATCTTGGAACCCGCGCAGCAGTCGTGCTCCCTCGTTGCTCTCGGGGCGCCAGGAGGAGGAACCACAGACGAGGAGCGGGAGGGCAGCAGGAGCAGCCACGCAGTGACGAGCCGGCGCCAACCCCCCAAGCTCTGTGGTCCTCTATATATGAAGGTGTCATCAGCCAATGAGTGGGGGGGGGGGAGCCGGAGTACGGAGGGGGGGGGTGACCCACCGCCACGCGATGCGAGTGGCTGGTGGTGAGAGTGGTGGGAGTGGTTGCCGTAGTAAATCAAACCACAGGTTTTTTGCAATTCGGAGACGCCCTCGATAGGACGCCTCCCGCGGAGATGGAGCGGTGGGATCAGAGCGAGGTGGATTGTAGCGCATCGCAGCACCGTGTGGGATGTTGACGGCGTAGGGAAGCTATCATCCATCGATGGATAGATCATGGCTCATGATTTGAATGGTTCGGGGAGGCTTTAATGAGTTTAATACATCAAGCAGTCTTTAAAACAACGACGCACATGTTCTGTATGTACCTAATATATAGTGCGAGATGATAACGTTCCGAGTAATTATCCTCCATCTTCAAGGGCAGAGGGAAGATTTGCGTGCGAGTGTGCACGGGGAGCGGCAGTGATGGTGTTGGCGGTGATGTTGTCGTCGGTGATGGTGTTAGAGTGATGATGTTGGCGGTGATGGTGTTAGAGTCATGATGTTGGCGGTGATGGTGTTAGAGTCATGATGTTGGCGGTGATGGTGTTAGAGTGATGATGTTGGCGGTGATGGTGTTAGAGTGATGGTGTTGGCG